TCTATCTATCTATCTATCTATCTATCTATCTATCTATCTATCTATCTCTATCTATCTATCGTTGTGTTGTGTTCTTTACCTGATAAATTAGCACTAAACATTTTAGTGTTTAAAGGGTAAAAGGGGAATAATTCCACCTCCAAATGTTCATGTATCACTTTTATTAGAGAACCTTGTGTGGTTTTGTACGAGAACAGGAAAGTGTGAATAGTTTTGGGATTTTTTTATTTGCATTTTTAAAGACAAACCTTGCTTACAAAGACAGGGTCAATTTAATGTCCAATGCAAATAAGATGTAAAAAAGAATAATTCTGATAGCGTATGATGATGTATCTAAAGTTATTGTAGCCTAAATAATGAATGGTTACTTATTTTCTGCAAAACAGACATAATCAAGCTCAGCTTTATTATTGTAGCCTTTACAATTGCAAAAAGGTTGTCTAAATCACAAACCAATCACACTCTGTATAGCACAAGTTAAACATTTCAAGTTAAAAGGTTTAGTTTAAAATGGGACTTTTCCACTAATCACTGATAAAAGGCTTCTACAATAGGTAAAATATTTGGATAATGGTAGTTATACTCTAAAGTAAGTTTTTATTTTTTAGATTTTTCTCATTCCGTCATTTAAAAAGTTTTAAGTTATACTTAGATCATTTTCCTGGACATAATGGTATTGACAGAACAAGGGACGTTTAAATGTTTCTGCTGGAAAGACATAATAGAAAGCCTTCAACTGTTTTTGTATATGTTTTCATTGTCTTTTTGACCATGTTTTTTGCCTGTGCACGTACGGTTGGGTATTTGCCTCTGAATGTTGAAAAAAAGAAGCATTCAAAGAAGGACATACATCGCTAACTAAGATTACAAAAACCTTCTGCTGCAGTTTCTCTATAAACTCTTTTATTTGATTTTTTTCAGCTAAACTCATTGTGGAGACTGACACATTTGGGAGTCAAGTGCGCATCAAGGGAGCTGAGACAGGCTTCTATGTCTGTATGAACAAGAGGGGGAAGCTCATTGGAAAGGTGAGGACAAAAGCTGTTCAACCAACTGAAACAGAGGGAGAGGGCTGGGTAAGAAGTTATAGGAAGATTAAATGTTGGTCCCATAGAATGATTAAAAACCCCATAGATATCTGACGATATCTATGAAATTGAGATTTTTTTAAGACCAGATAAACTCATCCATTAATATTTCCCTTAATAGAATCTTTTGAATTGAAGGTGTATAATCATAGCCATTTTAGGTGGAAAAAAATCAGTTTGGAAGCTCATTTTCCTTATTATTTAATGTGAGTTTTGGATGGTGTTTAAGCTTTGCAATATAAGAGATATGACACAAATATTTAAATGTAAATCAGGTACAGGATTTCACATAATCACATGTTAAAAAGCTAAAATAGAAAAAGGAAGTGTAACAAGTTTTGTAAGTATGATGATCATGTTTAAATTACAGTTATTTGTGTTGTGTTTTATTGTCTTCTGTGGTGTTTTTGCAACTGGAAGCATATCAATCCACCTTAACATTATGACCACTGACAGGTAAAGCCAGATTTTGTGATTATGTTGCATGTAAGAGGGTGACAATGTATTATCTTCTCCTCTTCATTGTCATGGCTGATAAACAGAGGGAAAAAACCCAACCACCCCTCTACTTTTTACCCTCCATGCATCTAGCACCCTGCCTCGAACACCATCTGCCCCAATCTCCCAGCCTAGTAAAATCGTACCTCAGCCCCCATAGTCTGGAATTTATGCTTAACACACACGCAATTTCGTATTGATGTACAAATGCCTCCCTGACACTTGAAGCTGATTCTGTATTAATTGAATTAAATAAAATTTTATTTATATAGCGCCACATCACAACAACAGTTGTCTCACAGCGCTTTCCAAAAAGAGCAGGTCAGACCCTACTCTGAAGTTAATTACAGAAACCCAACAATTCCCACCATGAGCAAGCACTAGGCGACACAGGCCAGGAAAAACTTCCTTTTTTTTTTCCTTCTTAAGGGTCAATACCTCACCTGAACCACTTTCAAGTGAGGAAAGCATTGCTTTTTTGACATTCCTCCTCTTGTAATGTTTAGAAAGCACTCTAACCCTTTAAACCTGATCCGATTGTTTCTCCGATTGTTGTTGTTTCTAGGTATAACTGTATTTGAGTGTGATGATGTTTCAAGAATCACAGATATGATATTTTCAATATGCAAATCTTAAAACAAGGATGCAGATGGCCGCCCACCCTGAGCCATGGTTCTGCTCGAGGTTTCTGCCTGTTAAAAGGAAGTTTTTCCTTGCCTGTGTCGTCTAGTGCTTGCTCATGGTGGGAATTGTTGGGTTTCTGTAATTAACTTCAGAGTAGGGTCTGACCTGCTCTGTTTGGAAAGCGCTGTGAGACAACTGTTGTTGTGATGTGTATGGAAGTAAATATGTGCCATCAGAATTTGAAAAAAAAATAACTCCGAAATTTGAATGTTGTATATTAGTGCTTACTTTTTCAGTATTAAAATAAATTCAGAATATATTTTTAACCCAAAAAAAATTCAATGTC